ATGCATCCTAGTTTTCAGTAACTGCCTTCTCAGCAGATGGCACACATCACAGACACTCCATGACACCCACGCTCTGTTTCATGATTTTTCTGGTGGGCAACTGCGTCCTAACAAGGCCACTTGGTCGCTGGCTGATCTGGGAAAGCCATTCCTCCCCTCTGCTCCGAGGCGAGAGGGACTTGTTTTCACTTCCCAGCTGCCTGGATGTGGGTGAAGACAACAAACAAAAGTCACAGGGAAACACTCCGTAGCAGGCAAAGTGCAATAGAAACGCATTCAAGTATAAGGTGGGGGAAATTAGAACAGCAGGATGCAAAGAATAAAAATAGTATCTGAGAAGCCAGATTACCAATTTCTTTTCTTCACATTTTCCTTCAGATCCCCAATTTTCTAAACTGAGCATGTGGCACTTTTATTTTAAAGCCCCGTGAAAGAGCTGCGCCAGGCCCACAGGCAAAGGCAGGGCTGGAAGACGGCTGCCCCCCATGCTGGCCCCTTTGCCCAGTTTCTACCTGCCCTGCCAGCTGGGTGGGGCGAGAGAGCAAAGGGCAGCCGAGCACGCCTCTCCCACATTTGGCCGCAGCTTCCTTTCCTTAAAAGCAAACCGGCAAAGGAGCATCCGCTGGTTTTTTATTTAGGAGACTGACTCTGGCAGCCTAGAATTGGAGGGGACTTTTTGTTAAAGAACAACCTTCAATTTTCAGGTTAAAATAAACCCTGCCATCTGGCCTGGTCCCTGGGCCTCTGGTACTGTTGGTGATGGAAAGGAGAGCAGCTCAGGCCAGGGCAGCAGCCAGGCTGTCAGCAGCACGTCGGGCTGGCCTTGATTCATGGTCCCTCAAGGGGCTTTTACAATCCATAAATAGGGCAAAAATTGCTGCAGTTTCCGGAGGACTTGTGTGCTCGGGAGGGGGCTGAAGCAGGAGCCGGAGGTGCCGTCCCCCGAGGCCCGGAGTCCGCGTCCTGTAACATCCTATCTGGACTGCCCGTCCCTGCTCCTGAGACGCTTTCCCTCTCGCCTGGGGGTCTAGAGGTGTCCCTGCAGCAGCGGGCAGGGCCACGTTCTTGGGAACCTGGCTTTGCGCTCTGGACCACACTTCTTACCTGTGGGGGCTCTGGTGGCCACATGGGCGTGGAAGTGGCTGGCCTGGGCTCCCCTGAGGAGCTCGTCTCTAACTGGCCCTGGGGATGCTTATGCTGCAGGTCCACAGCCCACACTTTGAGGAGCAAAGTAGCAAGGGCTAGACTTCACCCGGGTGCTAGGTCTGCACTCCCCAGTCGGGCCTCCTGCAGACAGGCCCCAGCCTTCCCTGCAGTGGCGGAGGCTGGGAGGCACGCCCTTCCCAGGCTGCCTGGGTGCAGGAGGGTGGCAGCTCAGGGCCCTCCCTCAAAACAACTTGAGGGAGGGAACCTCTGGTAGACACTGAGCCAGCAGGTGGCTGGACCCCAGAGCCGGAGGAGCCGGCCGCCTCCCAGGACCCTCCCTCTTGGCAGGGAGCATTTCAGCCCCCACTCGCAGCCCAGGGCAAGCACCAGAGCAATGTGGCCCTGGGGTGGGTGGGTGGTGCCCTCTCCTTCAGCCAACCTCCCCCTGGAGAGCCCCCTCCTGCTTGTCTTCTGTTGCCCACCGGGGCTTCCGGGAGGAGGAGGTGGCAAAGACCCCTCGGGCCCCAGGACAGTGCCCGAAGCTGTCATCTCCCATACACCGCTCCTGCACTGCACCCCCAACATCTGTGCAGTGACTGTGCCCCACAGGACGCTGCCCACCTGCCTCCCCAGGCAAAAACGCAGCACCCTCGTGAGGAGAGACATCCTGGAAACAACCATATGAGAAAGACCTACTCTCCTGATGCACTTACTCAGTAGCAGGTGCCGTTCCAAGCACATTATGTATATAAACTCATCTAGTCTGCACGGCCAACCCGTGCTGTTATCCCTGTCTTAGGGATGGGGAAATGGGGGCTCAAGGCCACGCAGCCATGAGGCAGAGCTGGGATCTGCACCCAGCCAGCTTGTCCCCAGCCCTGGCTCTTGGCCACTTCTCTACCCCATCTCTCTGACACAAGGCACAGGGCTGGCTACGTCTTCAGGCAGGAGGTCCTAATGCTTGGGGTCCCTCCACCCAGGGCTGGCTCACCTTCCCCTGTCCCTTGGCATGTCCCTCATCCAATCTCGCACGTAGGAGGCTCTCAGAAAAGGTGTGATGATGAAGGTCTCTGTCTTTCAAACATGTGGTGTTCTTTCCACTCACATGAGGCATTTCAAATTCCCAGAGACAGAAAGTGGAATGCTGGTCACCAGGGGCTGGTCTGGTCTTCAGTGGGGACAGAGCTTCAGTTTGGGAAGATGAAAAAGTCCTGGAGGTGGGTGGTGGTGCTGATGGCACAGCAGCGTGACTGCACCTGATGCCGCTGAACTACACACTTAAAACGTGTAGGATGGTAAATTTTTTGTTGTGTATTTTATCATACACACAAAATGACATGTGCTGTTCTAACTTGAGATTAGTGGCAAGAGTGAGTACTCACCTCTTTCCGGGGGCGGAATGGGGACAGTGACAAAGGTCCTTCCTTGGACCTGAATCCAAGCTGCATGAGGGTGCAGGGGGCAGGGGGCAGGTTGGGGTCCATGCTGGCGAGGGGCTGCTGTTTTTTTGGGCCCCACCACAGAGAGGCTTCCCTGTTCCTGGTCACATGGATGTTAGCAGCCACTTCCTAGAAAGGACTTTTTTCTTGTTTTCTTTTCCTTGGGAACATATCCGCTCCCAAGGTCATCTTTCAGGAGTGAAGCCCCCTCTTTAGACGCTAATCCCAGATGTCTAGAAGTCACAGCGAGCCTCTGTTCTGGGTGGACCCCCAAGGCTGTGCCTTCTCTGTAGCTCACAGATCTGATGTCACCGGATCCTGTTGGCTCCCCTTGAAAATAGACCCTAGACCCAAACCCGGCCTCTTGCAGATCCAGTCCCGTCACTGCTCCAAGCTGCCGCCGTGTCTTGCCCACATTCCTCTGACTGCATCTTGACCGTCTCCCTGTCACTGCAGCCAGCATGACCTTCATGCCCTGGTCCCCTATGGCCCCTCCCTTGCTCACTCCACCCCCAGCAGGGCGGCTTCTGCAGGACCTGAATGCTCCCTGGAGGCCCTTTGCTCTGGGGTCGACCCCAGTCACCTGAGCGGGTGACTTTCTGCTTGCTGGCCTGCAACGTCTTTGCTCCTCCTGCCCTGGCCCTCGCTGCACCCCTACATGACCTCCTCTGCCCCTGGAACCTGCGTGTCCTCTGCCTTCCTTGTCTAGTCCGTGAGTTCCACGAGTAAAGAAATCCGGCGCTTTGTTACGTGCTGTGTTCCCTGTGCCGGGCACCCTGCAGCTGCCCAGTAAACACTTCGTGGAATAAGCGCCTAAGATTAACTGCCTCCTGCGGGGCACCCCCAAAGCCCAGTTCAGTCCACGTGCCTCAGCTGCGTTTTGACAGCCATAAAAATACAAATGATTTTTAAACATAACCCCTTTCTTTTTTCCCCTTCTAACAGGGCAAGTAAACATCAGGAAGCGGGTCCAAGGGATGGACGCAGGAACAGAAGCATGGCCTCCGGCTTACGGGAAGTCTGGAATCTTCTAAGCCAGGGCTCATTGCCTTGGTTCCCTGTGCTTGACTGAAGGCACAACAGAACAGAAACCCAAACCCATTTTTTTGCCTAGTAAGTGTTACTGCCAATGAGGACGCTCATCATGTAAATCACTATGAGAGCCAAAACATAAATGCTGTGGACGCCCGTTCGGCATGTGCCTAACTCCCTCCACTTCGCGGACAACTGCCTGGCGAGCTGGAAGCCCCCCAGGACCCCGGCCGCCTCCACCTCCGTTAGGGCTGTCGGAAGCCCAGAGTGCCCGGGGCAACGGCGCAGACTGCGTCTGCTCCACATCAGCCCTCTTCTGGAGTGACGGGCAGCACTCGCCTCCCCGTGCCTTCTCCCAGGGGCTGCGCTTGACCCGCAGCGCGCAGACACTGGTGGGAGGAGGGGTGTTTCCCCCAGAGGCTGCTCCTCTGCTGCCTGCACCGACCCGGACCAGGCTGGGGTCCTAGGATGGAAAATCACCCCACCCACTGGGGCCTGTGAGTCAGTGGCCAGCAGCCCCCACCCCCAGTGGAGGCTGGAGGGCTTGGCTCTGGCGAACCCCTCGTTATCATTCCCAAGTTATGTGGTTGTTTTATTTTAATCCAAGTTCAGGACCCTCATTGTATCTCGCAGTCAGCCTCCTGGGGATAGTGAGGGGTGTGTGTGTGCATGTGGGGTGCCAGGGGCCCCAGAGGGGACCCTTTAAGGACCACAGCACTGCTGTGGCCTGGCACTCAGCCCTGTAGCAGAGTCACTGCATTTTAAACATTGTCTACAACCAGCTTCCTTCAGAATGGCTTTCCGAGTCCCGCCTTAGAAGATGCTGGACTTTGCCTTCACTCCTGTTCAGTGACAGACCTCCCCACAACGTGGGTCAGGACCTTTTTTGTCCCCAGACCTTCACTGTCCATCAAGGCCGCCAAGGGTCAGACTTTGAGGTATGGGACAATTTTTGTTTAAAAATTGGGACAGTTTGCCCAGAGACAATTCAATCCGTTGTAACTGGGAGAAGGAAAGGTGGAGTGGACTTCTCAAGAGTTGCTGCCTAGAAAAGAGAATTCCTAGCTTTGCTGTTGCCAAACCACGACAGCTGCTATTGTCGGCCAACCTGCCCCCTGCCCCCCCACGGCCTGGAAAGAGGGCACCCTGTGCAAGCTGGGATGAAGTCTCCGTGGTTGCTCCCTCACCTCCCACGCTCACTGACACAGCCTGCAGCTCTGCAGCTGCAGCTGAGCGCAGGGGGCTTCTCTTTCAGGACGCTGCCTGGGTGCCCCGGCCGACAGGAGGCAGGCCTGAGACTCCCCCAGGGCGCTGTCCTGAGCAGGCTGCAGTTCAGGGGCAGGGCAAGCCGACAGGGTTACAGCAAATCACAGGACAGCCGTGTGATGAGCAAGCTGCTGTTTTTAAAATATAACATTTATTGCTTAGATGGTTTGATACAGAACAGCTTTTCTTCTCATTCTGAATTTGGAAGTTACTATACAACTGAATACAAAGAGGAACAAAAAGTACCGAAACCAAACTTGTGATTCTGTTCATGTGGCATAAACCAGTTTTGTACATAACATGTAGCAGCAGTTTTTAAGTTCCCTTTAGAAAAATATGAGTTCTACACATTTATTATTGTTTCCTGTTTAATGCATGGGCTGAAATCACTAGGATCAACTTCCTTCTTGAAGAAAGAGGAGAGGAAAGAGACAAGAGAAGTGGAGGGTACATGAATCGTTCTAAAACAGGCGTCCGACTGTCACGTAGCTTCCCCAGGGCTGTTCAGGAAATAACCCTGGGTTTTTTGTTTTCACAGCCAGGAGTTTCATGTAGTGATTGAATCTCAGCATTGTGTCCATAAATCAAAGAGAAAAACAAAAGAGAAAAACTTGCACCTCAAAAAAAACTTTTCAGAGATCCATATATATATATTTCTTTTTGTAAAAGCCCTGAGAGAAGGAGAAAGAAAATCAAACAAAATGAATAGAAACAAATTAGCTGGACATGCACACTAAGCTATGATTCACCCAGAGTTTTAAACAAATCACAGATTTCACAGTTTAATACCAGGGGGGTGGAGGAGGGGGGGAGGCAGAACAACAAATAATACGTTTCTCAGCCTCACTAATAAAATGTGGCAAGACCTTATCGACTATGAGGGTACAGATGAGGGCTAAATAAAGCTTTGAATCAGTCGTGATTACTGCGAGCTGCAGCCCCGCTGGGTGGTGGGAACCAGATCTGCTACATCCCACCGCAGCGCAGAGCTCAGTCATGGCCTCTCCCCACAAGGTAGCGGGTTCTAGTGTGGAGAGTTGCAGAGAAAAACAAACACAAGAAACCCCAAATAATAATAACAACAATTGTCATAAAAAATTAAGGGATGCCTGAACTGGTTTTAAGTAGGACCACACTTGCTATAAAGTGACCCTGGGGGATCACTGGTTCTGAGCTGTATTCATCTAGAGAAAATAAAACCTCATTTTGAAACTGGTTCATACATCCCTAATACAGTTAAAAATCATATATACTCAAACTTTTTCCTTTCACATGCAAAGATATCTGAAGAATATGCATCTTCCTTTGAAGTCTGGGTGGTAGGATTTTGGCCGCCAGGTGAGGACACAGAGGGAAATGGGGCTGAGTGCCCCTGCGTGCACACGTTCCAGGAGAGGAGGAGCACGGAGGGCCAGGAAGGGCAGGGACGCTCAGACAGGTGGGCAGAGGCAGGGCTGGCTCCCCTAGGGGGAGGCAAGAAGGTCTGAGCAGCCCTAAGGCTTGGGCATCCTCAAGGTCTCCGCTCAAGGCCAGGATGCTGAGCGCGAGCTCAGCTACAGCAGGATCGATTTCTTTTCACTGCTGGCAGCTGTAGTGAGGCAAGTCTACGGCCTACATAGGATGCCCCTGAAAAATCCTGCCTCTCTGCACCCAGGGGTTCAGGCTCTTTGACAACCTGGAAACAGCAAGTTAATCTTCAAGCACCAACCCCAAATCGCAGGAAGGTAAATATACACCTAGTTCTCATCTTCAATCTTGCATGTGCAGTTTTATTACCAGTAGTAGTATTTCCTTGCTTTGCAAAGGACAGTAGCACAGGTGGGTAAGGCCTGGGTCAGGTTTGGCAGGAAGACCAGTGAGTGACAGGCCTCCTCACTGCCTGGCTTTCTCAGAAGCCCAGGCACACGCACCCTCGCTGTCCCCTCTCTGAGCTGCTTCCTGGCTGTGTGTTGCAGGACTGTTCACGGCCCCTGCTGGATTCTGCAGTCACGGAAGAAAGGCTTGTCTAAATACAGTAGAAGAACTGCCACCCGAGGGTGCTGAGGAAAGCTGCAGGCAGACACTTAAGTGGGGACCCAGGGGCAGCCTGGGTCTCCCAGGACAAATATTGCCCATTTGTTTCTGCTGACTGCAGAGACCAGCAAACTGATGAACTAAAAAACAAAAATAATAATAATATTAATAATACATATACCAAAAGGGGGAAATCAGATATATGGCATCTGTGCATGTGTTCCATAGGTTAAGTTGCCAGGGTAACTCTTCTCTGTATGTTAAGAATGGATGTCTTGAAACCTGAACAGTAGTAGCATGTCTAACGTTAAAAGAGTGAGTGGAAACACAGATGACGTTGAAGCTGGAATCTTTCCTGGTTTGAGTTTGAACCAAATTGGAAACCTTCACCCACCATCTCCTGCTATAATACCAGGGACCGAATTACAGCTCCACCATGTAGCAAACAGAAAAAAAAACAAAAAAACAAAAACCAGGTCTACTTGAGAAATGAGCATCTTATCTGTATTTTCTCTGGTAAACATGAAATTCACATCATTTTCTTCCAGTTATTGGCTATGGGTATATCCAAGGACACGTATCTATCTCCTGTTTCCAGCTCACAGAACATACGTTACTATCACAGATTCTCAAGAACAAGCTCACACACATCAATACAGAAGGTAACGTTAATGCTTAAATGCAAAGGTCCTCTCCAACTAACTCATGAAAATATTTTCTTTGTTTTTTAAAAAGTCATTGTGGGGAAACACACCACCAGGCTAACACCGGAGGTGGGTAGGTAGCTAAGGCACTCACGCCGATGGTCCGCGTCCCCCGCATGGGACACGGTACGGCTATGGCACTGTCTCCCTCTCTCTTTCTCGCTCCCCGGCAGCTGAAGGGCACTGAGGAAACCTCATGAAATATAGATTCGGGACACTTTGCTCTGCTGGGCTCTCGTCTGCACGCTGGGGGGCCAGGAGGGGCCGTCACTCCACCCCCAGGAGCGGCGAGGTGCCCTCGGCAGCCGGGATGGGGTGGGTGGGCCGCTTGCCTTGGAGCTCCAGCAGGTCCTGCAGGAGGGCCGCCGGGCTCTCCGGGTCGGGGTCCCCCTGAGACGCCTGCTCCTCGGGGCTGCCAGCGGGAGACGCCCTGGCAGCACACCTGCTGGCGTCAGCCTGGCTGGCACCAGCTGTCCGACCAGTCACCCGCTCCTCCTGGCGGCGGCTGGGATCCCTGGCGGCGTTGGCCAGGCTCTCCTTCCGGCTCCGGGTGATGGCCATGTGGCTGGTGGCCTGCAGAACCGAGTCGGCCTCGCTCTCCGAGACAGCGTTGTGACCGCTGTGGGCAGACTCGCTCTCGCTGTCCTCCTCTGCCCGCTCGTCCTTGTCGCTGTCCTTCCCGTGGTGTCTGGCATGCCTGGCTTTCTGGTGGACCCGCTGATGGCGAACCAGGCTGTGCTTCAGGGTAAAGGTTCGCTCGCAGGTCTGACATTTGTACGGTCTTTCTCCTGCAGCGACGGGGGAAAGAAATCACATCATGGACATAGGTGGGGACAACCAGTATCCACCTCTGCTCTGCACAGGAGCAGCAGCCATGTGAGCGAGTGCAGAGGCGGCAGGTGGCAGGGGTCAGGATGCTGTCCCACTCAGGGAAACCCTCTTACTGGCAAACTGGCAAACTGAGGACGGAGAAATGCAAGGGGCTAGCCAGTCTCTCTTCCCCTTTCATCTCTCAACCCAGGTTTTTCACTTACTGATCCAGGAACCAGAATCCCAGAAGTGGAAACCCCAGGGACACCAGACTGGCCTGAAGAGGTTCCCACAGGAGGACAGCAGCGGGGTCCCTCCCGGGGACAGGCACCATTTCCGAGGGCTCTGCACAACAGCGGCACCTCCCAAGTTAAAGGCATGCGATACTCTCTGTGCTGAGGCGCAGAGCACCTGGGGCTTCTGCTCCTGCTCATGTGCACTGGGCTGTGAGCAGCTGCAGGCATCACCTGCCGGGAGCTTCCAGACCCCGAGCACAGGGCTAAGCGGACTGTGTGCGGCAGGGGAGAGTGGGGAGAGGCAGTTTGGGCCAGAAGGGGAGGAGAGAAGCCAAGATCAAGGCCCTGGGTATTTTGGGGGACAGGGGATGGGGGATATGTTTGCATCTTTTGGCTTCCTAAGTATATTCAGGTCTCTCCTTTCTACCAAAACAACAGCCCCTACTTTGGTCTGTGTAGCCTCCACTGCACGGGTGGGGCTCCCAGGAGCAAAGGCATGCAGAGCCCCCGCGTCCAGCGTGCCCACAAGGCAGCAGGTGGAGATGCTGCCGCACAGCCCGGTACGCAAGCCAAGGGGAGGCTCCCAGGTAGGTCTGCAGCAGACTTTTCACCTAACGGGTGATGAAGCCCAGGTGTCTCCCAACAGAATGCCGCAGAGCACCTGCCCCTGCTGCCTCTCCCCTAGGCCGTACGTACCCCCGCCCCAGCCCTTCCAGGCTCAGGTCTTGATGGGACCATGGCCCCTGGTGCCCTGTACCCACACTGTTCTAGGTGCTTGTATGTGACAGGAAAGCCATCACCCCCATTCTAGAGATAGGAAGACTGAGGCTCAGAGGGCCAAGGAACTCCCAAATTGCTCTCAAAATTACTGCTGCCGAGGGACCACTCTGCCTTCCTGAAACAAGCTCGTGCCTTTCAAGTGCTAACAGAACAATGCTTTAAATCCTTAGTTTACAGGCTTGGCCTGCACACGCAAGCTCAGTGAGTCTCTCCGCCCCCTGGCACCGTGTTCAATGCCGTTCTGGGTGGTACCTCATCCAGACCAAGGGGCCAGAGGGGCCGGGCAGCCCCAGCCCGACCCCTGCAGGCCCGGGCGGCCCTCCCCCGCGGACTGGCGCCCTTACCCGTGTGCGACCGCATGTGACGGGTCAGGTCCTGCAGGGACCAGAACCTCTTGTTGCACACGCTGCAGACCTTCTTCCTCTTGTCCGCCTTGCTGGCCACGCTTCGGGGGGAGTCTGTCTTTGGCTTCTTGTCTTCGTCACTCTTCTCCGAGAACTTCTTCTCGGCCGCTCCCTCCCCGTCGGAGGCACCCTCCACCTCCTCGCTGCGCTTCTCGGCCGCCCCGTCGGCCGTGGGCTCCGGGGCCCAGGAGTCGGCAGGGTTCTCCTCGGGTGTGGCGGCTGGGCTGGGCCCCTCGGCCACTCCACCTGCGTCCTGGTCCTCCGTGGGGGGTGCATCCTCCTCCAGGGGCTCCTCGCGGCTGTGCACCTTTCTGTGGCGGCTCAGGGTCCCCAGGAACTTGAAGCTCTTGCCGCAGATGTCGCAGGTGTGCTTCTGGTCGGCCTGGGTGGCGCCCCCACTGCCCGCAGCGCCCTCGGCCAGCTTGAAGCCCATCAGCTTGCTGGCGAGGTCGAGGTCCAGGCTCTTGTTGCTGACGGTGTCCTCCTCCGGGCTGTCTGTGTCCTCGTCCCTGTCCTCCACACGCTTTCCCTCCTGCTCCTGGCTCTCCTGGGCTCCCCTCCCATCCCCGTCCACAGGCGAGGCTGCTCCGGGCCTCACCTCCTCCGCGGGGGGCTCCTCCTTGCCCGGGCGGGGCTCACAGGCTCCCTCTGACGCGGGCTGCTCCTTCTCCCGGGAGGTCAGGTCCAGCACTTCACCTCCCGCGGCCGACTCCACGTCTGACTGGCTATCTGTGGGAGCAAGCACATGGCCAGGGTTGAGACCCAACGCCACTGAATGTGTCCCTTCTAAGGGTTCTGTGGTGGCTCTTGGCTGGTCCCACCCTCCAGGGCCTATATCCCAAACCCCAGCAGGGATTTCTCTTACCCGTATCCTGCTACTCTGTCCTGGGAGGGCCAGGATGAATCCGGGTTAATTTACCCAAGGCCAAAGGAGCCTCCACACACACACGGGTGCGGTCACAGGGCTGTGCCTCAGCTTTCCTCCCATTCCCCACTTCAGCTGCCCAACAGCCACGCCCGAAGCCCTCCACTGCAACACACAGGGATGCTCAGGCCCCCAGGAAGATGCTAGCAACTCAGGGCAGCGCAGACAGAAGGGACGGCGAGAGAGGAGAGTTGGTGCATTCCAGAGGCTCACAGCACTAGGGAGGTTGAGGAAGCTGAGCTGTAAGTTATTTTTCCAGTGCAGAGATTATACAAACATGCAACATACACAGGACCACCCCAAATGGTATCTGCTGAGTGTCTTGGGAGAAAATGGCCCAAGCATGTACTGTGTGCTACGGTACACAGCCTCGCCTGGTGGCTGGTTTCCAGGTAGAGTTCCAAGCAGGAGATGCATGCGCACCTGTAGGCCACCCTGGCTGCTGTCAGGACCTCTGCGGGGAGTGGACACACTCAATTTGTTCCTACCTGCCCACTTTCCAGAACAAGATGTGAAAAGCCCAGCAGTTTTCCATGATCTTCTAAGGGGATGGCACCGTGGTAACACTACCACCACCAAACAGATAACACTATTTATCAAAAGCACCGTCTTCTCTTCTTTCAGGCTGGATGAGGACTTGGTGAGTTTTTTATTATGTGCTATGACAGTGAAGCTATCTGCTGAGGCCTGCAATTTAACTAGAGATCCGATGGCTAATTTATTACTGTAGGTATTCAAGTTCCTCAAAGAATCAGGCTGATGAAATTCAGTTTCATGGCATATACATTAGATGCACCTCCTTCATTAGGCCAGATCTCTGATTAGAGCGCTCACACCAGCCATCACGCACCTAACTGGACTCTCCTGCAACATGACCACAGACAGCACAAGGTCCAGCCACGTTCACCACGCCCTCTGAGCCAGAGGCTCTACTATCTGCCATCAAGGCAGTCCTGGGGCTGGCCTTCCACGGTCACACCTGCCTGGGGCTGTGGCTGACCTATAGCCATCTGCATGGCCCTGCCAAGTACCTCCTTTCATTGGTTTTAATCTGACTGTACCTTCTGGCAGCCGCTGTCTCAGTGTCTCAAGAGGTTTCAGAAGGAAACATTATGGTGTGAACAGGAAATTTCTGAAAATGAATGATTTTTGTAAGTTAATCATTTACAAAATCAGAAGTTTGAGGAAGATGAATCCTGAGATATCCGCAGCAGTATCTAGGCCTTCTTCTAAGGAGAAACTAGATACACAAATTTTCTTGAATCATTCCAACAGGGAACCTCTATTAAGTGGATTATTATATGAACTCTACAATAAAAAATGTAGAACTCTCAGTTTCTTATTTGTTGGCTTTGTGGGTAGTTACATTTCTTAAAAAAGGCCTTTTCCCAGTGTAGGCTGCTTTTCTTTCACCAAAGAACATGGCTTATTTTAAAGTTTTTAACTGTTGTAGGACTTAAGAACATTTTGGGAAAAAAGAAAAAAAAAAGAAACCAAACGCAAGTAAATATACTAAGATCTGATTGTTCTGGGCCCCTCCTTAGTATGGAGTTCACCCTAAACGCAGTGACAGGCCAACTCACCTCTGGTGAACAAAGGGAGCTGGCTGTGCTCTATCCAAACTTCCACTAGGGGGCGCATTTTTGCAGGGCAGTCAGTGCCCTTCAAGTTCCAAGCAACTGCAACTGATTTTTACTAGTGATTCTTCTGAACAATCGACCTCACTTCTCCTTCATGAAAATCCAGCTTAGAAGGCCACGACTAGATCCTTACCCTCCACAACCACCCTTCCAAAGGGAAGGAGCGGAGCTGACGACTTACACGCAAGGCTACCTACCTTCCCTTGACAATTCTCGGTCCCCATCAAGCCCTCATTTGTGATGCTAAGTCCACAAGAACTGCTAGAGAGCAGCGGGAATGAGCTGCACTAGCACACAAAGAACCCACAGCTCCTTCTAGGGGAATGAGGAGATTTTCACATCAGCTCAACAATGAACCATCTATTGCTTCCTAGAAATTCCATTACTCAACTGAGCAGACAAACTACCCACCCAAATATCTAATCTGATTAGGCAGGGGCACAGCTGCTGGGGAAGTTGCTCTGTCTGCGCTTCCCCTACTGAGAAGCATTTCCAGTGGTGTCATCAACCCTGGCACGTGGCTCCTGTGCTGGTAAGGGCAGCCACCATGAAGGGACAGTCTAAAAACTTTAACATTACACTGATTTAAGTCATATGTAGGTGCCCACAAATACAAAAGCTCCTACAGGCATCATCCCAGGAGGAATTCGGAGTATCCCAAGTACCCTACAAGGGCAAGGGGGGTCAGGGAACCTCTCTGCCCTGGGCAGGTGCAGGAAGAGTTTAACTCTGAACAATCCACAGGCCCCTTTAAGCTAGACCTGCCCCCTACTGTAGCATTTTTAGCATTCCTTTGGGGAAAATCTAGGGTACACTTTCATTTAAGACCTTATGTGACCGAAAAAGTCAGACCTACATCAGAAAACATGTCTAAGGATTTTAAGAAAATACAACCCAGGCACATAAACCTAGAAAAGCCCTCAAGAACTTCCCTGATCATTTCCTGATTTTTTTTTTATGGTCTTCTTCACAGCCTCACTTTTGACTTTATGGGAGGGAGCCCCCAAAGAAAGCTTCACCCACCCATCATGTTCACCTGGTTTAGAAATTCTTGCCATCATTGGACTCCACCTCCCTGATCTCCTTTCCCCCTTTTAAACCTCAGTCCTCTTTCCTTCTATGGACTGTGACCACAATTAAATCAAACATGCATTTTCTCTTCATTGGTTTCACATTACAACTTGCAGCAAATTTTCTTTCTCGAGGCTTTGTCCCTTCAAGCAAACCTGCACAATTTCCGGGGCAGGGCGGAACGAGAAAAGGTTCTGACGGGATTTGGAAAAACAAAACTTGGAACTGTCAACTTAAAAAATAAAAACACCCACAATGTAAAACTTGGTCCTGAATGGGAGCTAAGATAGAAATGCCGATTAGCTTTGTGTCTGCAGTGTCTCCAGCTGCCCAGACACGTCAGATGAGCAGCAGCTTTGGTGTCTTCCATATGACCAAGAAGCTGAATCTGAAATGTGCACGCAGCACATGGTCTTTACACTTTGAGACTTGTCTGCAAACTCGGGAAACCAAGGCTCCCCTCAACCATCTCTGTTCAATTTGCTGCCTTCCCTTGTGAACCACTATAGAATAACATAGCTGCTTGCTTAAACCAGGCTTTGAAAAAATGTGCCGGGCTATCAGGTGACACAGCGGTAGACTGGACTGTGAAACTTGGAAGAGCAATTGTCTGTCTGCAGCAAATTCCAGTTCTGCCAGTGTCGCTGTGGGTTTCTTCCTGGGGGTTGAACAGATCATCTCATGACCTTTCGCTCAAGGGGATCCGAGTCATGGCAAGGTTCCTTGTGCGCCCATATCTTTCTCTACTTAAAGATCCTGCCAAATTTTGTGGAGATGGAAGCCAGGGGAAGGAGCCAGCAAACTGGCCTACATTTTATATTTTATACCCTTTGAGAGTTTGATCTTAATCAAAGGGCCTGGTAGTTCAAGGGCTTATTTCACTAGGGCTTGGTGGGAGGTATGGGGGAAAAAGCCGAGGGTCCCAGACCCATTCCTCTTCCTGAAAATGCTACCCACTCAGATGCACCCCTTCCCTGTAACTGAGAAGGGTGAGGGGGCTCATCCCACCAACTCCTACACACAGCAGCACCCCACGCCCCCTGGAGTCTGAGGGAGAGAAGCACAGGCCACAATTACAACCCCAGAAAAGCACGTTCGCGGGAATGTCCTTGCCTTCAAGCAACAGGAAGCACCAAGCTTTCAATATTTACAGCATTGAAGCCACACCTGTACTACTGCTACTGACCAGAGGCCAACCAGCCGTGCGTCTCTAACCCGAAGAAGCCAAATCTTTGTTTTGTGGGGTGGAAGACACAGAACCCCAGCAGATGGAGCTGATGGAATGTACGGAATAGAGGACACGAGTAAATACAGAAGCTCTAAGGGGAAAAAAAAAGGTGGCAGGAGACGCATGGGGCAGCTGTTAATTGCTCTGTGGGGGCTGGAGGAAGGAAGCACATATCAGCACAGTAGAATAATACCCGGATTCAAGTCAAGCAGAGACGTGATTAAAGAAAGGACATGCAAAGTGCTTTTTCAAACAAGACGAAGTTTTTTATGGGGAAGGGTTATTGAAGAGAAAAACACCCCATCCCACCTAACCTTCCCCATCAAGGGCTGGGGATCACTGGTTCCTGCAATACCCTGCCACTGAGGCAGCCCACGGCTGCACCCCTGCTCTGTAGGATGCAGCAGGGGCTGGGGATTGAGAAAATGATGCCCATGCCATTAAGACGTCACATCCCTTTTAGATGGGATCCTACACCCTCCCTTGAATCCCACCCCAGAACAAACCAAGGTGTCTGCTGGAAGGGTGACAGGTCTTCCCCTGGCAGCTAGGAAAAGCAATCTAGGGCACTGCCATTGCTTCCCAGATCCCCAGCCTGCTGCATGCTCCCAGTCCTTGCAGGGCCCACCTTTCTGGCCTGCAGGGTCCTACAGAGAAGTGGGAAGGTGGCTGCGCCTGGCATGGAGGGCTGGAGTTTGCGCTGGCCTGCCCTCCTCTTGGTCACCGGGAAGCACTACCTGTGCTATCATGGGGTCCAACATCACTCTCTTTTGACTGGGGGATAAGCCCGTTTCTTCTCAGGGAGCAGTTGGTAACTCCGTGTTTGCGCAACTGGTGGCGTTCACAGTTAGATTTGGTAGAAAAGAAGGCATCGCATTTTTGACAAGGGAAGGGTTTCTGACCTGAAGCAGGAAAAAAAAAAAAAAATTTATCTGGCTTTCTACTGCAACGAAAAAAAAAGTTGCTTTCTATTCATTCTCTGGGATAAACGGCATTTGTTTCCCCACCCCCACCCTTTCAATAAAATAAAATACATTAAAGAAAATACTGAGAACATTAAAAACTCAGATGACATCTTCCCTTATCCTGAGTGAAATGCACTGAAGTTTTTGTCTTCAAAATACCAAAAGTTAACAATGAAACCAAGACATGTATGTTTAACGTGAAACAAGGCTATTACAATAAAAATCTTAAATAACAACAACAAAGACTGAGTGGCAGGATTTTAAAGCACAGGAAGGAAACATGTTCTGTCACAGAGGAGACACCTTTTAATATTGTATCATGGTCAGTACGACTGGACTTCAGAAATCAAATGGGAAGAAGCCTACCCATCAGGCCTTCTTGGAGGAATCTGGACCCTGCTGGACCCCTCTGGGGCCTCCCCACCCCCAAACCCACTGCCCCACCATGGACAGAAGCAGCAAGCTCTGACTTCCCAGGATTCCTCCTCGCTGCTGGGCTGAGGCCTCCTGCAGGGACCTCTGCCCAAGGTCACTGGTGCTGGCTGGCAGGACAGGTTTGCTTCTGGCATTAAAGGTCTTTGTTCCCTCTGAGCTCTGGCTAGTAGTAAATAAGTGACCCACAATAACTGAGTCTGCGTTGGGAACCCAAGTGTTCCACTCAGCAGACCTGCAAGTGAGAGAAGTCCCTGAGCAGCCCCCAGTCCCAGCACAAGTCCACAAGGGGGCAACCTGCTGAGACCTGCCCCTCCCTAGGCCAAGTTATCTGCTTTGCCACCAAGCTTCTGCTTTTCTTTGGATACCTCTGTACTGTAAACACTGCTTCAAAACGCAAGTCAGACTCCTTTGCAGAGGTCCTGTTTTAGGGATGGACCAGAGGGGAGAAACAAGGGCAAGAGGAGCATGGGTGGGGAACGGGTGTGGGGGAAGAGGGGGAGGGAGGGAGGGAGGGACCACGGGGGCTTCAGGGGAGAAGATGGCAGGAAATCATTTACTCTATCACTGGAATCTTCTGTTCCCCCAGATCTAAGGTCCCAGCTGTCCATTACAGGGGTGATGATTTGTGTACTAACAGACATGACTCAGAGCAGCACTTGTGCCTCTTACCCTTGGAATTGCCATCATCAAACACTCATGTCTCGACCTGGCAGGAAAGTCAGCCAGCACAGCTCCCCAGAAACACCGATCGGGGGGCCTTTAGCCACTGCTGGATTCCCACCACTGGGCGAGAGCCAGCACATGGGCCAGGCACCCTGGCGAGCACCGTGGAAGGAGGTGCAGCGTGCCCGGTTGTACGACTCCCGGTGTGCCGCTCACCACGGCACACTGGCGTGCGACCATCACCACCAAGACCGCACCACCCAGTCTGCGAGCACCAGGAGTAATCAAAGCAAGCGGATACTCATATGTTCTGAGCTGAAAGACCCCTTTGGGTGAGGATGCAAATCAAAGGGGAGCTTTTTCAGAATACAGTGCCTGGAACAATCGCAGACCACGGGATCCAGAACCTGGGAAGGATGGATCAGAAACCCAGGACACTGCCTGTGTGCTTTTGTTATTATTTTATAACAATAAATTTGTTATTTGTAATAACTTTATTATTAAGGTATCATTGATATACACTCTTATGAACGTCTCCCATGAAAAACACTGTGGTTACTACATTCACCGATATTATCAAGTCCCCCCCACACCTCGTTGTAG